CACGGAACTTTGAAATGGAGAGGAAGGAGGAGGAGACAGGATGGGTGTGGAGTGGGGTGGCGTCTTGTGTGTCGAACAGATTGACCTTGAAGGCGAGAGCACGGTACGGTCGGAATGGGCGGGCACGCCCTGCCGCCGGTGAGCGGCTTCCACGCTTGCGTGGGCAAGGGCAAAGCAAAGGGGGCCAGGTGGCAGGCGAGAAAGGAGCAGGCAGCCAGGCCGGCTCTGAAAATGGGCGAAGGGAGGTAGGCTGCCCGCTAAGAAAAATAAAATGATTTTCTTTTTATTTCTTAAATAAACAGAACTAAAATTCCATTTTGAGCCATTTTAGAAGCATTTTCACAAGTTGGTGTAAAAATGAAAGTTGTTCAGAAAAAAGTACTCTACAACTTTGCCAAAAAGAATAAGGCAACCATTTTAGAAGCATTTTCACAAGTTGGTGTAAAAATGAAAGTTGTTCAGAAAAAAGTACTCTATAACTTTGCCAAAAAGAGTAAGGCCAAAATCCAATTAGATTTTGAACTATAGATTTAAAGTTAATTTAAATCAAAAACCCGATTTTAAAAGATTATTTTTAAAAGCAAAATTTGAGAAAACTTTGAATATACACCTTGCTCCAAATTGCATCTTAGTTACTTCTAATTGGTCTAAGTGATCAACCAAGGTACACACATGGCAAAACAAACATAGCATCCAATCTATTAAAACAAAACTATGCAACATACATGTTTCATTAGTATGTTTTAATTCTATATTTCATGTCATGCTTATAAATGCATAATAAAGATTATGCTCATAATTTGCAAAATGTTAATACATGCTTAACACCGAGATATTACAGTGGAGGCGCTGAGCACGAGCGTAGCTCACAGGCCGGTACAGGGAAGAGGGACGGAGCGCGCGGGCACGGCCATGGTGGTGATCCTACAAATACCTTGAGCCTTGAGGTGCTAGGCCAGTATGCTAGTGCGGACGCAGTGCACACTGCACAGCGGCGGGCTGGCGAGCAGATCGATGACCGATGCGTGCGGCGCCGGCCTATGAAGAGATGTACAGAACAGGAGAGAGAGAAGAGAAAGGAAGAAGACAAGGGCAATTTGGACCAAAAATTCTGATAAAAGCATTAAAAGAGTATGTAGTGGTATATTTTAGAGATTTGTGAAATTATAATAGCATGTTTTTAATTTCGTAAATAGTAACTGTATATCTTCAAAACACAATATTTACAACACAATTAACCCAAGCATAAAAATGCCGTCCTCCGGTCCCTCACGAAGACGAGACCTCCACCCTGTTATCAATACAATATTTTTTTCTCGTAACAGAAACAACTTCAGCCGAAAAAAAAAATCCAGTGAACAGGGTGCTCGTCTCTTGCTTGCACGGCAGTTGTCCCAACCCCACCGAGTCAAACGTCCCCAGCCTAAAATTTCCCCTTTCCCCAACTAACACGACACCCCCGCCTTCCGACGTTCCCCTTCCTCCGATTGCCCCCAAATCCGACGCGTCATCGCCGCCATGGCCGCCGCGGGCAAGCTCCTCCTCCTGGCCGCCGCCGTCCTGGCGGCGTCCCTCGTCGCCGACGCGCGCCCGTGCGGCCACGCGCAGACGCTCCTCGTCTCCTTCTCCTCCGTCTCCAGGCCCAACCCGGACCCCACCAACCCCACGCCGCTCACCACCACCGTCGTCACCGTCCTCCGCGTCCGCCGCCTCGGCCCGCACCAGATCCGCCGCCCCGTGGCCCTCCCCTCCGCCGAGCCGGAGGTCGCCGTCTCGTCCGTCCAGGACCGCGCCAAGGACATCCTCGTCGTCGTCTCCGGCCTTCTCTTCGGCTTCGGCTGCGGCGCCCTCACCGCGGCGTCCATGTACCTCGTCTGGTCGCTCCTCGCCTCCACCTGTGCCTCCGGCTACGACAACGACGTCTACAGGGACGACGAGGACCAGTTGTCTGACTCCGAGAGCCCCAAGAAGGCCGGCTACGTCATCATCCACGACACCGATGAGTACGGCGCCGGTAAGAATTAGGGCTGGGGATCCGTCTTTGGTCTTACCGGGGGCAGCCAAAGGATTCGTAATAACAAATTGCATGATTGCTTGGAATTGTGCAGTATACACTGTAACTATATGCACCTTTTTATGTGTGTCGCGTCTGTCTGATTCTCTCTATGTATGTCGTTTGGGGAAAGGAAAATTAATTTATGAATGAATACGCTCTTGATGTGTTCTTATTATCGTCAAACTGAAATGATGCTTGCCTTTACTGCAAAACATGGATCTTGTGGACTGCCGTAGTTTACAAAATTATGGTGTAGTGTTCTTCCTACAAATCGAGGTGCAAGTGCAATATGTGGTTGCCTGTGCAATTGTGTATGTACAGTAGAAATGTGACACAGTGACATACTAATTACTCGATCATTTCCTATTGGAACTTGTATGAATGTGACCATGCAACCTCTACAGTTTTCCTCTAGCATTTTCGCTTTACCTTTCTTTTTAATGGTCATGAAACATGTAAAATTGTTGTTTGTTGACCACACAGATTTTTTGGGGTATTTTACCAGTGATGTATAAATGTATGGTTCTCTGGTGTGGTTGTGGGCGACTAAATATTTACCCTGAACTTTTCTCCAGATGATGGGAGTTATTTGTTTGGCAGCCTATCTATTTTTTAGGCTTAGAGATACGATGTATAATGGTCTGTGTAGCAAGATACTAATGTTTGTAGCATTTCTTGTTGGAAATTGTTCATGAATGTGACTGCTACTTTGTCTGCAATATCTCTGAGGTTTGATTTAAGAGCCTGTTCGGCAGAACTGAAAAATAAGCCAAAATACTGTTCCAGCTGATTGTTGTGAGTGGAAAATACTGTTATGACTGAAATCACTGTTCACGTGAACAGTGATTCGTGAGGGAGCTGCCCAGCCAGCCACCGGCCAGCCAGCCGAACAGCCCCTAAGGCGCGTTTAGTTCCAAAAAATTTTGGTTTTTGCTCATCACATCGAATTTTTGGACGCATGCATGGAGCATTAAATATGAAAAAAAAAAACTAATTGCACAGTTGGGTGAGAAATCGCGAGACGAAACTTTCGAACCTAATTAGTCTATAACTAAACACTAATTACCAAATACAAACGAAAGTGCTACAGTAGCCAACCCCAAAAATTTTCGCGAACTAAACGTGCCCTTAGACAAGGTCACAAGGCTGGGTACAGTCTGAAGACATTGCAGTGTGTTGATTTCATCAAACAGCAACTAGTATAGCTGCATGCTTCACTTCTATGCCTATCTTCATTTTGTTTCATGGAGCCTCTTAAGGCCCCATTTGGTGGAGGTCCTGTTGGCTTGGCTCCAGCTCCTCCGTGCTGCCATTTTGTCTTTCTTTTCAAAATGAACTAGGAGCCAGGAAATGCACTATTTGTTTTGCTTCACCTGCTCTATCTCCTCCGCGCACCTTAGCAAGGAGCCGGAGTCGTGCTAAATCACGCTCCATGGCAACACCGTTCTAGTTGAACACCTTTCTAGTTGTGTTTATATATTTTGAAGATTGCTAAATTAACAATACAACATTACTGTTTGGTTAACAAAGCTGACTCCAGTTACTTAACCTTGGATTATTTACTTGCTTTCTTCTCTACATGTCATGGAACCTACTGTTGGGACAACTTCAATGGCTCCTAGGGTCTAGTTGTGTTAGCATATAGTTTATCAGAATGTTTTGGGATGCAGTTCAATCATGAACTGTTGTATATAAATGAACTTTCCAATGAAACATTCTTCTTCGTTTGGGGCTGACCCTGTTGATAAGTTGGTAATTATGTAATAGATGGTTGTGCCTCTACCTTATCTGATCTGAATTAACTAGTTTCCTATTTTCAATTTTGTGGTTTTCCCTATCTTCTATGACTTGAAACAAATTCTTATGGAGCAAATTGTATGTCACGTTTTGTTTTTCGAACGAAGCATCTAGTAAATTACTAGTCCACTTTGTGGGTGTATGTTAGTTCATCTGGTACTCAAATGACTTTCCTGTCTGTATTTTTCCTGCTTATTTTTGTACTTGTTATTGATCTAGCATGTAAAGATTATTGCCAATGATGTGTAAACCTGGACAGTCTGCTGTTGCTCAGCAATTGCTCTGAATCATCGCCAGGCTTGAGCAGTGAAAGGTAGTATCAACATTCAGAGATTGTTGTGTATTCATCACTTCTGTTAGCATAGCTGCGTGTTTGTGTTTTTGGTATGATCGGACCTTATCATCCTTGCTCTTAATGTTTCTGCTTATTTGGTGTTGTACTGCACATGGCAATGGGTTAAGAACTATACCCTTCGCATACAGAATTCTCAGAAAATATCTGACTCCGCTTCTGTGGAATGTGTCATAATGTTTTACTATCTTCAAAAGATTACCAATTTACCATTGCTACACCCACCGTTTTCGGTGTTTGTGTGATTCTCGTGAACGCATTCTTCTAAACAAATAGATTAGCGACCTTAGCTATCTTTTATTACGCATTGACAATCACACAGGTAGTTATTTGAAATTTGCGAAAAATTCTACCTGCAATAACTGAAACACTTCCTCTTTTTTTTCCTTTTCTTTTTGTGACATCTTTGTGCATTTATTTATGAAAAAAAAAGAGAAATGCCCAACGGGAAAGATAGCTTTTGAACTGGACCGTTTCCATACATGATTACAATCTGGGCCTGGAGTCAGTTATGGGCCGCAGCCCATGCACAGCGCAGGTGCGCGGTCCATCTGCCTTGCGCTTCTCGTTGCTCAGCTTCCTCGGCCAGTCTGCCGCGCACGGCGCATCTGTTCTTTCTGCTCTGCGACTGCGAGCATCCGTGCTCGTATCGTAGTCTGTTCGTCGCCGCTGCTGCCGTTTGGTGCTTGCCGCCGCTCTTGTCTTGTTCCGGCACCGCGTCAAAGGGCCGTTCCTCTCTAGGCGCCTGGTAGATCTCCCCAAATCAACCGGGCAAGCCTTACCGCCCACTTCACTATGGCGGAGCCCTCGCCGCCGCCGGCGTCGAACGCTGGCCTCCGTATCCTCCTGTCGAAGGACCGGCCGGCTCCCTCCCCTCCTCCCACCGCCGCCGTCTCCAGCCACGCCGACCGCGACCGCATCATCGTGAGCTCCCACTCCCTCCCTCTCATCCTGTTCATGAACCCTAGCTGCAGTCATAGTAGAAAATTCATGCATTGCAAATCACCATGAGCTTCCATCGAGGCGTTGGAAAAACTGTTAGTAGTGGCGTAGCTAGGGGTTGTGTGAGAGGATGGAGAAGGAAAGCTGAAAATTTAGTGAAATTGTTTCTGCATGCTACCACACATGTGCTCTTGGTGAAATGTGATCTCTTTGCTCTTTTCAGGGAGTTTTCCGGAGCGCGTTGTCTAGGAATGAACCCCCAGAAACATTTTCCCTTCAGACAGTTCAGGAAGCAATTAAACCTCAGGTATCTACGTTCAATCTGGCATTTGTGAATCTTGATTTGATGATGAACCGTTAGTGATTCATGTTATCATTTTCCTCTATTTTATTTGCTTGTGTTTTAGGTACCTACCTATCTGATTTGACTTGTCGTTTAGTTCAGTTAATCATCTGATTTGACACGCATATCTCATTTCACAGAAGGAAACCGTGTTGGTTCTAGAGGAGAACCAATCCTTGGAAAATGCTCTTCGAACATTGTTGCAGGAGCTTGTGGTAACTTTCTATGTGGCTACACTGTCCTTTGATCTCACTTGATGATAAATTGGTTAGGGAGTGCTGTCGGCACGTGCATTTTTCTGGGTCATTGCATCCGTTCTGAGCAGTAGGGTTTTAATGATTATTTCTAAAAGAAAACGGAAGGTGTGGCTGCATTTTTATTTGCAATCCTAGAAAATTACATTGATTGCTGATTCTGTTTTATATGGAGAGTGTATTTCCATATTTCATTTGCAATCTTAGAAACCAACATTGATTGCTGATTCTGTTTTTATTAAATCTGTATTCTTAGTCATCTGCAGTGCAATCGGGTAAAAAGATCATGCAATATGGGAATTCATTGGATAGCGGAGAAAGTAACTGCCTGATAACTCGCCTTCTTGGTCAGTTGCAGTTCTTCCAACATTCTTTGTTCAAATCCATACCTATCTGAGGACCTTATGGCATCACTTTCTCTTTTTTTCTTGAACACTGTTTGGTGCCTGTGTAGCATTAGTTTCTGTTCTGAGAAAACAATGTTCTTCCATGATAGATATTGTGCTTTATCTTTGCGAAAGAGGGCATGTTGAGGGTGGTATGGTATTCCAGCTGTTAGAAGACCTAACTGAAATGTCAACAATCAAAGACTGCAAAGATATCTTTGGGTATATTGAGAGCCAACAAGATGTACTGGGGAAGGTAATTGTGATCCTTATTCTGTTTGGTTAGTTCTGGTTAAGTACAGAAGATGCATGTTTGTAGCTTTGCTGATTGATTATCGTTTTGGATTGTTTGTAGCAAGAACTTTTTGGACGTGGAAAACTAGTTATGCTAAGGACTTGCAACCAACTTCTTCGCAGACTATCGAAGGTTAGGTTCAGTTGTTTTGTTGTGTTTACTCTTTGAAGTTTAGATTTACTGTTGTTCCCACATTTCATCTTGGTTAAGTGGCCATTTTGTTAGCCAGCTGATTACCTTAGTTATCCTGTATGTAAAAAGTAATACCCCCCCTCCCCCCCCAAAAAAAAAAAAAAGGCACTAAGAGGAACTATGTGGCATTGCTAATAAGGAGAAATAGACACCAAAATGAAGTAAAAAAGGACACGAACCTGGGTAGTAGGCGTACCAACTGAGCTCGGCTCAGTTCCTAGCGACCTGGTCTATTAAACTGATTAATCAAAACTGAACTGCGAAGTGTGTTAAGTTAGAGATTTGCTAATATCCTTTGCTCTAAACTAAATGATTGATTGTACGATATCACCAAAATCTTGAACTTTGTGAACCAACTCTTTGTATGAATTGGAGTTTTTCCAGCACTTTTTTTTGGCTGAAGAGTAAATTGCACCACCTAGGCCTGGTGCAAGCGGTAGAGTCTTACCGCCTATGACCGGAAGGTCCCGGGTTCGAGTCGCGGTCTCCTTGCATTGCACAGGCGAGGGTAAGGCTTGCCACTGACACCCTTCCCCAGACCCCGCACAGAGCGGGAGCTCTCTGCACTGGGTACGCCCTTTTAAACTTATTAGGTGTGCCACTTAAGGTCCAAATCTCCCTAATTAGCATAAAACTTGCCTATGTCACTTGCTAGCATGGCACCTAACATGCAGGGGGCATGACAGTGGTGACATTTCTTTTATTGTAAGAATTTAGGGACCCAAATGCCATCATGGTGCATTTCATGCCTGTTGAACCAGCATTGATGTTCCCTTCATTCTTAAATATCTCAGGCAAATGATGTGGTGTTCTGTGGGCGCATTATTATGTTTCTAGCACATTTTTTCCCATTATCGGAGCGTTCAGGTTTGCATATTGTATATCCCTTTCACCATTCTCACGTAGTTGGTCTCTTATGGGTAAACTACATATAAGTGTCTATGTACACCATTCATTTTGTTTGTCTACTTTAACAGCTCTCAACATTAAAGGAGTTTTCAACACGTCAAATGTAACCAAGTATGAAAAGGATGCTATGGATGGTGAGTATGACTCATCTATGTTAATACTGTAGTGTTTTATTTCGTTTATTACACGTGACCTCTGCAGATGAGTTGTTTTTTGTTCACTTCTGTAATCTGTCTCCCTAAATGCTGCGTCCTCATGTATTCTTTCGTTTCTCAGGAATCTCTGTTGATTTCAACTTCTACAAGACCCTCTGGAGTCTACAGGTTGATATTTGGCACTTCTGGTTATTCTATGGAGTTGGAAATTGTCGCTAGATATCATACATTCTTCTTAATCATCGACATTTTTTGTTAATGATCATTTCTTGAATATTTATGTACCAGGAACATTTTAGTAACCCAGCTTTGACTTCTACAAATGCAGCAAAATGGCAAAAGTTCTCTTCTAATTTGGCGGTACATCCTTTCATACAATTTTCTTCCAGTGACATGATTTATGTTCACTTTGCAATTCTGTGTCCTGTGGCCTCATTCTGAATATCCGATACTAAATTAATAATTAACTTCATTCCAGGTTGTGTTGAGCACATTTGAAGCTCAACCTCTTAGCGATGATGATGGAAAACTTAACAGTCTCAACGAGGAGGAAGATGCTGCTTTCAATATTAAGTACCTGACTAGCAGTAAATTAATGGGTTTGGAGGTAAAAACTTTTGGGCAGGTGGCTCTACTTTTCTTTTATTGTTCACAGTTGTGATATAATTATTCCATTCTTTCAGTTGAAGGACCCAAGTTTTCGACGCCACATACTTGTTCAGTGCCTTATATTTTTTGACTATCTCAAGGTACATAAACTTTGGAAGTTGGGATGATGCAATGACGGCATGTATTAGGCAGTCATACAAGGCAAAATTCTATTTAATAAAAATGCTTAAGCTAATCTTCTATGTTGTACACCTACGTGCACTTGTGTGAGAACATGTACTATAATATTCCCTTTTTCTGTTACAATACCATTTTACCGCTATTCATTTCATTTGACTAGTGTGTTATAGTCACTGAAGTGCAGACTGCTGAAAAAGTTATTTTGTTCCTCAGGCGCCTGGAAAAAATGACAAAGAAGGTCCAACAGGGAGCATGGTCAGCACTGAGACTTTGACATTTTCCCCCCTTATGCAGTTATATACTTGACATGAACATTTCTACATATTTGTTGTTCGATATTGCCACTGTCAGTTCTCATGAAATCCTTTTTTCTTCTTAAGCATCTTGTGCCTGTATGACTAGACTGCAGAGAAGGGTTCTGTAAAATATTAAATATACACATATTTTTATAGTCCACAGCTTGATACTGTCCCACCAATCTTTATACATGAAAGTTAAACCCTAAATAACAAATAATCAAGTTCCGTTGTCCAAAAACATGTGAAGTGTTGGAGGACTATCTGATGGTTTAGGTTCTTCCATTTAGAAATGTAAAGATGCACTCAAAAGAATCTAGAATAGTGGTCACGTGTACTCTTCAGTTGACTAATAAAGTTACTGTTTTTTCTCCCAAAACAATGCCCCACATACATCTTTCGTCTCCCATATCTCCGGCCCAGCTGAACTCTATCATATTCTTCCTGCTCCGTAAGTGAAGACAAGATTATATCCATCTCAACCATATGCATGGAAAATTTGCTCTCCCTCCCTACTCTCCTTAAATCCAATACGAAGTTTCATCCATTACAGTTACAGATGTTCTATACTTCTATCCCTGAAGCTTTGTGTGGGTTTAACACTAGTTTTTAGTAGTTGCTGATTTCATGGCTTACACTTACACCAAATAAATTCAAATATTTACTTTTTATATGGATAAAAATAGGTGGCTCCATAGAGTAAGTTGTGGTTTGCATGGAGTGTATGCAGGAACAATATGATATTCGAATAGTTTGAACTGACTAAGCTAGTTCTTTCATTATTGATGACTCAACCATGGTTCAACTGTGAATAATTTGTCCCGTATATTTTCCCTTCAATCAGAAAGAGGAAATCAATTCTTGTGAAGAGCATGTTAAGAAGCTTCTAGAAATTATCCCCCCCAAAGGAAAGGAATTTCTGAAAAGCATTGACCATATTCTTGAGCGGGAGAAAAATTGGGTATGCTTTTTACTGCACATGGTTCAAGTTTTTTTTTTTACCTTTATTGTTGAAACTTACACAACCAATGATTCTCATCCTTTATATCTTGAAAAGGTTTGGTGGAAGCGAGATGGGTGTCTTGCATTTGAAAAACCACCCTTTGAGAAGAAACCAGGTCAGGCTGGAGGTAGAAAACGGTATGCTACTTGCTTAAGGCACCGAGCTTACTGTCAGTCAATTGTTTCTATTGATTATCTCGTCAAAACTTGCCTAGATCTGTCTACGAAAGGTTAACAAGAGAGAAATTATAATAACAGAATTGTATGCATTATTAAATTGTCAATCACTTATATCTAAGAAAGACCGTGTCCAATCATATAATGGTTTATGTTATGACTCTGCTAAGGTAAAAGAAAACATGGGGATATTTTGCACAAAATCTAAATCTTTAATGTTGCAATTTTGAAAGCTGATTGGTGTTCATTATTTCCACTTCCTTTTTATACTTTGCTTCCATGACCAGAATTAAGGTGATATTGCATGCTTTCTTGCATTGTAGGAAGCCAAGGTGGAGACTGGGAAACAAAGAGCTCAGCCAAGTTTGGAAATGGGCAGAACAAAACCCTGTATGTTCACATACATCTTCCCACTATAGTGCGAGTTATGAATAAAGTCAGCACAAATTTATTGGTTTCGGGCCGTTGATATTAAAAAATATTCTTATGTTCCAAGAATCATTGTGCCACTGTCCATTTCTGCCTTTATATATATACTTATATAGAAATAACTTCAAGTCTTGGTGCCAGTCTCTTTTCATTCTGTTAGTTCCCCTCTTTAAATTTGAACTTGTTAACTAATCTAAAAATATCTAACTAGTTTGGCATCCCTAAGTGATTAACGCTATAAAGTAATGCTTGTCCCTTGAATTAAGTTTAGACTTTCTTTGCATTGTTTGAAAAAGTGTCAAGTTATATATAGGGCCCTTCTCCCTTAGTTATGAGCATTGCTACTTCTTTTCTTCTGTATTCATTTACTGGTTATTTTTGTCGTACAATTTTCTTTCATTTAATCTAACCACTCACATCTTTATTGGAGCTGTAGAATGTTTTGACTGATCCTGACCGTGTCCGCATGCCATCAATTACGGAATATTGGAAACCACTTGCAGAAGATGTAAGCACTTTGGCTTTCTTGCATCTTTTTTTAATAGAAAGTTACATGGCACCGACCTTAATGGTTATTTTTGCACTTTGACCATTCATCCTTTTGCTGTAAACGAAGTTTTAAACAGTCTTGTAATTACAGTTGTACCTATGTTAACACGCAGATGGATCCATCTGCTGGAATTGAAGAGGAGCACCACCACAAAACTAATCGGGTAAGTTTGATTTCAGCTATGCTAATTATTCGATTACTGTTTTTTTTTTTGGAAATTATTTACTCGATGGGAAGTATTTCTCGAGCTTTCTTTTGAGTGGATCAGGTGGACCCTGCTAGCTAATTATGTTCAAATTGTCAGAGCTCTCCATGAAGAGCCTTAGCTTGGACTGCTGTTATAATTAAGTGCTATTGAAAATATTGATGTCTTGTTAGGCACAGCTGCTGGAACTTATTGTCTTATCGACACTTAGTTTTTTATTACCTTTTCGTGGAGTATACTCCCATAAAAGCAGTATTGTGCTTGCATGTTTGGATAAATGTTGAAATAGGAACATTTGCCTTCAACTAATACAACATTGAAACAACCTCCTGATGGCCTGACCCTACTTGCACATACTGCCATTGGTCACATGTACTTGGAAACTATGATGGCTCCAGACACATTGAAAAGAGTTTAGAAGAGGCCATTTTTTCATGGGCACTGGATTTTGGGGAAGTAGCATTACATGTTTGATTTGCATATAGGTAGTAGATTGGTCTGAGAGCAGCTTTTGTGTGACAGGTGTACTGCTGGAAAGGACTACGGTTTTCAGCCAGGCAGGACTTGGATGGATTTGCCCGGGTATGTGAAGCTTTACAATGTAATTGTTTCATTCTTGAGTGCTAGTAGGGTGCAAGATTGAATGAATATGGATATTGATCACCATTTCCATTTCAGTTTTCAGACTACGGGATCGAAGGAGTTGTACCTTCAGAACTCCTGCCACCTGAAGTAAATGCCAGGTTTTCTTCTAAGCCTGCAGAAAAGGTTAAGCGGACGAGAAGGGAAGATTCAAAAGGTGTGTCAGCTCAACCCAAAGAGCAGCAGGTACCCTGACCATCTTCTTGACCATAACCTCTATATAAACACCAACACTGTCATGTCTACATTGTTGCTATGGACTCCTCTGCAGGTTGCCGCGACACCAGAAACCGACGGCGGTGGCAGCGGTGGCGATCTAGAAGAAGGGGCCGCACCAATGGATTCCGACAACGGCGCGGTGGAGGATAGTCAGAAGCGGAGCCCAGGGGAGGTCTCTGGCCCTGAAAGCGGTCAGTGCGAGCCTGAGGCGGATGCCGATGATAACGTGAAGACTGAAACCACCAGTAAGTATGCTCGTGCCGGAGAGAAACAGTAGATAGAGTAGTATAAAGTGGGCGATGCTGAACCATTCGGCCCAGATTTTCGACTGACATTGGGCATTTTTATAGGCACCGCGAGACTCGATTTGAGACGTTAGTTAGCTTAATAATATCCCGCAGTGGCTGCCCAGTGATTGGATTTGGATGTAAAGTGGCTTTTTTCGTAGCTGTATGTGTAAATTGTTGCCCTGCAGTAGCGTGTGTTGTATGTTCAGTAGGAGTATATAGGCAGAGGCTAAACCGGCCCTCTGTCCGCTCGTCTGATCATATCATAATTTACAGTAGTAGATCTGGAAATGAAATTAGATTATATTTATTTATTCTCCATAAATTTGAGATCCCGGCGAGCCTTTCAAATGGTAACAGGATCAAGTCGTGTGAGTTTGCCGTGTCGCATTAAACAATCGGAACAGGTGGATTTGGTTGGTTTGTTAGGTTGTGTATTAATTATTAATGTATACATATGTAGTACTAGATCAAATCGCATTGCCTCCGTGTTTGAAGTTTTAAACCGCTGGAGCTGTCGAGCAGCAGCACCACATGTCCTCCAGTTCCGTTGCAGGCCGTTCATTCCACTGGTGTGCAGTGCAGGGCACCTGGACGGCTGAGATCAACGTTTGGACGCCGCACAGCGCGTGGCTTGTTGGTTGGAGGACGCGAGTCACGAGCGCAGCAGTGGCCACTGGCCAGTGGGGAGTCATATATTCTCATCATCTGCTGGGTGCAGTGTGTTCCGTAGCAATAGCCGCCCGCTGATGTATATATGTAGCGGGATGGCTCTTCTCTTCGTCTCGTCTTTCCAGTAGTACAGGCAGCAGCAGAGGAGGGACGCCTTCTTGTCAGCTTGTTCACACTCCACAGTACACAGAGATAAAAAAAAAAGTGCTCGAGGAGCTGCTCTTCTTCTTCCTTCCTTCCCAGCTGCTGCTCCTTTTCCTCGCAAGGAGAAAGAATGGAGTCCTCTCCTCTTCTTCCTCCATAGCTGGCCTCTGCAACCTCCAGTGTAGAATACTGCGGAGCCGTAAGTAAGTTCATCTCCATCTACCTCTTGTGTTTACTCCCGTTGCTCTTTACGTGCAGCCTTGCAGGTAGACTAGCGATCTCTCCATCTCTCCTGTTCTTTTTTTTTTTTTTTTTTTGAGGAAAATCTGTCTTGTTCTTGCTACGCCGCCCGCCAATCCTTACCTGTTTGAAAGCGAGTTGCATTGCGTCCTTTTAAGTTAAGCTGCGTTTCTTGAGTTTCTTTTTCTTCTTCTGTTCTTGGATGTTCTTGTTCTTGGTGTGTGGACAGCAGTAGCAGGTTTTACCTCTGAGCATAGCTGAGCTGTGTGCCTCGCAAGCCATCTATTACTGTTACCAGGCAGTGTAAACAGTGCTGTTGATGGTTTTGCAGATTGGTAGGAGGATCACTTTTTTTTTCATTTTCCACGGGGGTTATTACTATTCTTTACAGGGGGGCCTGGGGTGCAGGTAGAAAAAAGGCAGCCAGCTAATTCGCAGCACGTATGTTTTAAACCTAATTAATCTATATTTAAGTCTAATTAGTTCACTATGTGATAAGGTGGTGCTACAGTAACATATACGCTAATGATAAATTATTTAGACTTAATTTATTTTGTTTTTTATTAATATCTGATCATCCCATAGGACACTGCTTCGTAAGAAACTTTACCCTATAGATTTAAACGAGTCCATAGAAATCTGCTAGCAGCAGTGCAGTAAAAACTCTGTAGGAGTAGGAGGTACTAGGACAATTAATTAGAGCATGAAAATTGCAGTGCTCTGCAGCAGTAGTACTTGTACAAGCTGGATGCCGCTGCCCCACCCCCTCAAGGCCTCAATCACACTTCTGCGTGCAAAGCAATAGGAGTACTGTAACTCCTGCTCGTAGAGGACACGGACATGGTATTTTGTTTTGTTTTGTTTGCCAGAGCCAGCCGTTAGCTTGCCAATAGGAGTAATAATTAATTGGGTTACGGTGAACCTACCAAAGTACAGTAGGAGTATTGTACCAAGCCATCCATTTGAAATGCTCCCCGCCAATGCATTTGTTTTTTCACCGCAGGAAACACGCACACTCGCACCATGTAGTAGAAAGAATAGAGGTAGGAGTCGACCCTAGGGCAAGGCATGGGCGTATGGGAGGTTTTTACCACCGTCCACCGGGCACAGCAGTAGTGGACTAGTGGTGGTCGCGGAGAGCCGACGGGAGGCCCGGACCGTACCGGCACAGCAAGGCAAGGGCGAGTCCAGATCAGCAGCAGGCCGTCCGGTCACGTCGGCCTTTTATTATTATTATCGTATCCTCGTGTTCTCTCATGCTCCCCGACCATCGCACGGGTGACGCAGCGACAGCACGCCTAGCTTGCCGTGACTTTCAACGTTGTACAGGACGCTACAGTAGAATGTGTGTTTTTTCTCTCTCACTGGTATTTTACGTGTTACATACATAAACGTACTAGTACAGAATGGGTGTGTTTTCACGATGCTAGTAGCAGCTGTGAGATTGCTTGTTTACCTATCCTAGACTGTGGCTTGTGTCAGGTGGCATCGTCGGGGGTCCAAGCGACGCAAAGCGAAGCGACGAGGTCGCCGCTGCCCGGCTGCTGCCGCTGCTGACACGGGGCACAGGCAGAGCGGAGCACGAGGACGAGAAGGGCAGCGAGCGTCGCAACGGGCGGTGGCTGCACCTGCTCACCCGCACCGCGTCGCAGGAATCGAATCCCGTCAGCGTCTCTGCATGCAGGTGCAGCAGGCAGGCGGCTGCTCCTACATGGAGTCGGAGCAGGCGGAATCGGCGTCGGCCCCTGTGGGTGTGATGAGCTGCCGCTCGCCAACGTGCCCGCCTTGGCTCCAAGCGGCCATTGCAGGTCCGTCGCTCTCGCCTCTGTGTTGCTTGCTCCTTGCTGTTTTACTTTCTACTACTCTAGTACCTTCCTCCTCTCTTTTCCTTAACCTGCATCGATCCTCCTGTGCTGCTGCTGCGCCAGACAGTTGCTAACTAAACCACAACAGTTAAAAAAAACTACGAGGGCTACTCTATTCGTTTGTTTTGTGGGTGTGGCGCAGCGCAGTAATGTGATGCACGATTGATCAGCATGCGCCATCACATTCATAAATGGAAACGGACCCAGACCCAACCCATCCTCATAAGGTACCGTACCGTTTAGTTCCCTCCCAAAATGTTAAATTTTTCAAGATTTTCTGTCACATCGAATCTTTGACACATGCATAAAGTATTAAATATAAATAAAAAATAAAACTAATTATACAGTTTAGACGAAATTCAAGAGACGAATCTTTTAAACCTAATTAGACTATGATTAGATACTAATTGACAAATAACTTCCAACGAAAATGGCTACCATGTCATTTTGCCAAATTTTTCGGCATCTAAACAGGAGTTGTTTTTACTGAACGTATGTGCTGCAGCCTGCACCTGTACGTAGTACGTATCAGTGTGCTGCTGCTGTCTCCATGCAGTTCTAACATTGCCGCGGTAGATTTTGCTTGCACAGTTGCGCTGTTTAAATCCCACTCCTACTACCAAGGTAGCAGTAGTTGTTACTCCTTGCATCGTGGCCATGGAAGAGTTCGTTCTGCTTCTGCATGCGAAAACAAGTGGAGTGGAACAAGGAGCATGGACTCCAGCTTGTGACTGACTTTGAATTTTTGAAAGGAAAGTCGTTAATGAATTTTTTATGATGCGCATTCACGACGCACAGGATTCCAATCCCATTTCCATGGCCTCACCGTCCAGAATAAAATCACGCGGTTTGAAAAGTTTAGGAGGACGCAAAGCAGCTACGATTTTATACATGGAGGTGAAGTAGAGCTACTGTACCTGAAATGGCATTACGTAGGCTTTTCACTTTTTCATTTTTGAAACGAGGCCACGGGCGTCCTTTGAATTTTTTATGATGCGCATTCATGACGCACAGGATTCCCGGACCTCTTTCTACCTAGATGAGCTAGCTACCGACAAGTATTCCATGGCCTCACGCCCCAGCTCGGTCACGCATCATGTTGGAGGCAGCTACCAGCCTACTCCTACCACATATACTATACGGAGTATAGTAGTAGCTACCGTACCTGGCATGGCATTACGTAGGCTTAATTTTCACTGTGACTTCTCTTTTCTGAAGCAGGGTCACTTCTTCTTCTTCTTTTTAAAAAAAAGAAAAAAAAACTCAGTTTAGTAGAGTTTAAAAAAACAAAAACTAAATTAGAGTGTGAAGCTAAATATTATTTATGGGTTTTCCAGCTCGGAATCGTCGTCCGCACAAAGTAAAGAAAGCCTACGGGGGCTCGTTGCCTTGCTTTTGTTGAACACTAGGGCCTTGTTTAACTAGGGCCTTGTTTAGATGCCATCCAAATTTCAAGTTTTTTCACTTTCTCTCCATCATATCAATTTTTAGCCACTTGGAGTATTAAATGTAGGTAAAAAAAATAACTAATTACACAGTTTAGTTGGAAATCACGAGATGAATCTTTTGAGCCTGTTGGTCCACGATTAGACAATATTTATCAAATAAGACGAAAGTAGTACTATTCATCGAGTTCAAAAAAAAAAATTTGCAAAGTGAAAGGCCTAGCTTCCTCGTGGAATCTCTCTGTCATGTCTCTTTTGGATACCATTCTCCCTAGCTTTCGCCTCAACCATCTTGCCTGCCGCATGGCTACTGCTGCTGGTAGTGGTAGTGTTTGTAGGAGGAGACAAAACTTGTCTAACAATCATTCCAAGTCAATGGATCCATCCGCCATGCGTACGCCTGCCTGTAAAAACAAATCCCCTGGACTGAAGTAGTACAACCTCTCGTCGTGTCAATGCTGGGCCAAAGGTTGGCAGGACAAAGATTGTTTCAAAAAAAAAGGTTGGCAGGACAAAGATATTGCATTGTCACGCCCTCACATGTTGTACAGCCACTCGCTCACTCATCTTTTGTAGCAATTCAAGTGCTTCAATTCACATACAGTACCTTACGTTCAAAAAAATTCAAATATACGTACCGGTAATTACAACTTACAACCAACTGTTCTGAACAAAAAAAAAAGAACTATTCTGATTACCATTGAAATTTATAAGTTTGTTGTGCCCGTTTCTGTTTAACTATTCTGATCATAATAACATGTGGTGGCATCATTGACATTACTAGCAACATTTGTTTTTTTTAACTGTCTTACCTAGTCCATGGGTCGTAGTAATATTCCTAGTGATTTTTTTTTTCTTGTCAAATATTCCTACTGAAACTGGCGAATGGTTCCTTTGCCTTCTGAATATGATTTTGAAAAAAATTGCTTGCAGACATCGAGCAGCGGGTGCGCGCGCTGGCGGTGGACGAGGCGCCGCCCACGGAGCACTCCTTCGCCGAGCGCGCCGACAACTACTACCACAAGCGCCCGCAGCTGCTGTCCCTCCTCAGCGACCTCCACCGCCGCTACCTCTGCCTGGCCGACCGCTACTCCCAGTCGCTGTCCACCCTCCACCACAAGCACCACTCCTCGCTGCCGGCGCCCGCCGTCTCCGACTGCGGCTCCTCGGATGTGGACGACCGCTGCTCCGACGACGCCGACAGCTCGCTCTCGTACCAGCACCCGCTCGGTGCCGGGGTCAGCAGCGGCACTAGCACTAGCAGCGGCAGCAGCACCACTGCCGAGGCCGAGCTGGTGGTGGCGGAGCTGGTGGCCGCGTGGGTGGAGCGCGACGTGCTGGCGGACGAGGCGGCGCGGCGGGCCGCGGAGTCGGCGCGCAAGATCGAGCTGCAGGGGAGCCTGGTGGAGGTGCTGGAGTCGGAGCGTCTGGTGCTGCTGGGCGAGAACGCGCGCCTGGGCTTCCGCGCGTCGGCGGCCGAGGACGAGGCCGCGGCGGCGGCTGCCGAGCTGGGATACGCGCGCCGCCGCGCCGCGGAGATGGCCCGCCTCGTCGTCAAGCTCCGCGAGGACCACCGCGTGTGCATGCTGGGACGCAAGATCGAGGCGCTCCAGGCGCAGGTGTACGCGCTGGAGCTCCGTAACCGCGAGTGCTACGAGGCCATGGCGGCCTGGGAGGCCGAGCGCATGGTGGCGGGCGCTGAGATCCAGAGGCTCCGCGCCGAGAACCGCCGCCTGGCCGACGAGGCTGCCGCGGCCGCGGCGGCGGCGGTGATGGCGAGGAGGAAGCGCAAGGGGAGTGGCGGGTGGTGGGCCAGGGTCAGGATGGCCGCCGAGTGGACACCGTGCGCGCCTGCCACGACGGTCACGGTCAGGAAGGTCGGCGAGCAGGTGAAGAGGAAGGACGACGGCAAGTACTACTACGGCGGTGGATGCTTTTGCGTCTAGAGACGAGACGAGACGAGACGAGACGGCGGCGCCGGCGTTGGACCCTTTTTGGCGCGGCGTCGATCTAGGGCAGCTCTCCTTTTGTTAGTACCTCAGTAATTATATAATTACGACGAGTAATTCAGGACTTGGCAAGTGAAGGTGAATGCTGGTGGCTGTTAAAATAAATATTATTACTACCTCCGTCGTTATTGAAATATCATTCTAGTTCTACTACCAAACCAGTCCGTACGTTGCAAGGAAAGAAAAAAGCTACCAAATATTTATGAAAATCGAGAACAAAAATGATACATATCTATTTTTGTTTCACTCTTTCTATAAAAATTTAAAGCTATAATTTATTAATTTTATGATAACTATGACATTCATAATATAAGCTGATTTTGTATCATCACTTTAATATTACATTGGCTTATGCATATTAGACACATTATTTAGCATGATATGGACAACAAACTGCTCTAGATTGTAGTTTACTATTTGATTAGTTGGATCATCGGCTAAATCAGACAATAATAAGTTTTGTTTGTAATCAAAATTGCATCAATAATTTTAGCAGTGTAAATATCTATTTTTTAAGGAATAGATAAATTTCAACTGCTCATACTATTATTTTTATATGTATTGTTTGTTTATTAATATTTATATGATAAAAGGAAAAAAGGAAGGAAAAATCAATCGAAAGTTAACAACACATGCAATCGGATGTGAAAAAGAGGACCGTGGAAAAAAAAACACAAGACAATCGGATACGATAAAGTGGACAAAAAGAAAGATAATTACAAAGAAACTTCTCACTAACAAGAAAACAGGAAAACAAAAATAAAAAGGAGCAAAACCCAAAACTCTTTGTGGTTTAATATTATGATAAGATTTAATATTAGGTATATATATAGATATAAATATAGTTTTTGGTCTCCTTTGTAAAACAATTACTAGTATTTGGCTGGATTTTGGCCAAAATTAAGCTGAGGGCATGAGGAGGTCTCTCTCTTTATTTTTAGAGAATAAATAATAGTTTCTTCTATCTTGTATCTATATGTTCTATTTTTATCTACTATGTTGATTATAAGAGACGGAGATGAACAAGTCCTAACATCTAGCAATATGTTTTACAACACCTTACCATACAACAAGCTTTACATGTTGGTTTTGTCGGCGTGCTGGTTTGTGGATGATGTTAACCATCCGGCAAGAAAATAATATGTTATTAAAATGCGTTTGAAAGAAATTGCACATACTAATTATTACAAGTTTCCTTTATTTGTTTCAATTCGGCAATCTGTTTTTGAATAAATATTAGTCTACTAGTGCATTAAAATTTGTTTGAGATTGATGCATTTTATAAATTGATGTATCGAAGAGCGCGGAGCTCATATTTTGCCCAATGTTAAGTGATAGAAAACATTTTACAAGCGCATGTGGCATCGTATTGACGATTAAAAAAACAACATACCACTGTTATTTAAACATGCTAAACGACTACTTGTCTAGCAATAGTGTGCTGTGACAAAAGAACGACCACCATAATATATATTATTGTTTAAATATATTATTACTTATACATAATTGTGTTGCCCCGTTGCAATACACAGATACTCCACTGGTATATATACTGAATGTGAGGCACAAAGCTTGTTTGACCATTTCCACATCTTTGGCTAAAGTAATCTAATCTTTACATTGAAATAAAATATACGTTGCCCAACTACCCAGCTCTGCAGTGTATTCTCTACTTCCTCTGCTGGGTTCAATGTTATCCCAAGCCGTAAACGACTAATTATCGGTTACTTGCTGTTTAGCCATTATTTAGGCTGAATTGACCTCTAAACAGGTAGAATGAAAGTTTAAATGGTAGAAAGAACTGATTAAAGGAAAATGGTGCATCATTGTGTATCGTTTAAATAGTGTGCAAACGGACTAATTAGCCATTTAGGCAAACAATGGCTGTGTAAAGAGAGACAGGAGTACAAGGCTACACTGCTACAGGAGAGACGTTGCAAGTGAGCAAGAGAAATAATAAACAATGTTATTTTTTCATATTGTCCGACCATAACTATATGGATGGCTTATGGCCTATGGGCTACCTTCACAATGATCAGGGGTGAAGATAGAGTAAATTAGATGGAGGTGTTTTTCTCTTATAGGTGTGAAATTAAATCTGCAACAATTTGTTCTTAATAGTGGGTTTTCAAATTTTAGTGGGTGCCAACGTAGCTTGACAATGATAAAGTATAGTCTACATATACCTATGGACTGCCTTTTTTCCATTGTAGACGGCCCGGATCACACATTTGCGGATTGCACTTGAGCCCACTCATATGGTTAGGTTAGACCAGAAACATTGCTCATTCCGAGGCAAACTGAGCTTCCTAGTTGTGCCACAGCAACCAACACTTACTAGATATGTTCGCTTTAATCGATTTCTATTTTTTATAAAACAATTGATCATTTTGATGTGGCTGAACTTATCACTATATCACGAGCGACAAATTTGGCCTTGTTTAGTTGGTGATTTTTTTTTGGAAACATGGCGTAACTTTTCGTTGTTATTTGCAGGATTAGTCAAAATAACCGGTCTAATTGCTTTAAAAGCCCATGGTTGTGAATTTGTACCTTCTATGTAATTAATTTTGTTTTTTTATTTATATTTAATGCCATCCAGCTCCATCACAAATCCAGTTAAGATGATTTTAGAACTTTTATAAAAGCGGAGAGCAGACGTAGCCTTCCTTGGACACTTTGTATTCCCTCTGGAAGAACTTGGCGACACAAAATTTGCCAGAACCCAGGTGCACGAGGTACGGATCGATCAAGTCGCATCCGTGACACTCTGGCATCGCCTCCTCCAGCACGCTGGACACCACAGGCCTGCTGGTCCGCCTCCGCCCAGAGGCGGCGACGGTCTTGAGGTCCGACGAGCAGAGCAGGCCGGTCTTGGACGAGAAGCCAAGCCACGAATCGCACTCAGGGATGTAGTAGTGGGCACGGTCACGGAAGGGAAGCACCCATTTGCCAGCCGACGTGTCGAAGGAGTAGGTGCCGATGCCCGGCGTCGATATCCAGATGTGCGAGCCGCCGACCGCCGTGTAGGCAGCGATGCGGGTGGGTTTGTAGCCACTCTCAAGCACATATGGCGGCGGCTCAAGGCAGCGCCAGCGCCAGTCCTCAATGTTCTCCAAGTACTTGGGGGATGGCACTCCGTCATACACAAGGGATTCGAAGGTGAATCCATCGCAGCGGCTCTGGCTAGGCAGGAGCGGGGTCCTGTCCATGACGTAGAGCGCGTCCCCGACAGCGAGGGAGACCGTTTCGAACTGCTTTGGCTCGTTGAGGCGGCGCTGGTTGTAGACGGTTTGATGGCGGAGGTCGTAGATGAAGGTGAATCCATTCTCGTCGGCGCTGGCGATGAGGCTCTTGTTCTCGCCGCGTCCAAACAAGGTGAAGAAGTCGAGGACCCGACTGCCACAGTCGTGAGAGGGCGAAGCGACGAAAGAGATGAATGGTCGCGGCAGCCGAGCATCCTCAATTCCTGATGGTCCTGTTCCTGTGGCAGGAGTGACGATGTTCTTGTGGTTTGTGGTGGGGAAAAAAGTGTGGACGCGTCGATGCGGCGCAGAGCGTAGTTTCCATGGTCGAAACGATCCACCAGCAGGTACAGGTACCTCCGCCACTTGCTCATCTCCGACCTGGACCTGGTCGAATGGAGGCACGGCGAATGCGTCCTTCGGTGTCCGTGGTAGGGAGGGAGATTGGAGTTTGCGGCGGCGCCGACGCCGAGGGAGGTACAGCAGGCGGCGCGAGGTTGGGACAGACAGCATCTTCTGGGGTCTTCATAGGGACTATGGGACAAATGGGCTGGTTTGCCTCCCTGCAGTAATGTGGTGTAGCTTTCAAGCAAAAAAAAAAAAAGTAATGTGTGTGCAAATGTGTGATGTTGGGGGGGTCACTCAAACTCAAGCCAGGACGTGCTGGGCCGGTTTGACTGCATCCTGCTGTGCAGTAATGATGGTGTAGCTTTCTTAAAAAAAAAAAGTAATGTGGTGTAGCAAATTATTGATGTTTTACGCTTCACTCAAACTCATTTGGAAGATAGCAAGCTTTTTACATGTGCAAATGACTGCATATTTCAGGCTAGGGACGACAATGAGTAAACCAAGGTCAAGAGCAAAACCTCAACCATGAATACACGTGTTGAAGCCGATTACGTTTATACATCAACTATGTCTAGCATGCTCAAGGTCGGTTGCACACGACCTATCAAACGCAGGAAGCAACTTCAAGATCAGCAAGACGGATCGAGAGATCGATGACGCCGATTCGAAGCCTGTCCTTCGTCGATAGAACTCGAGAACAGAGAACACCTCCTGTTGGCTATCGTTATTAGGGATACCCAAAATAAAGAAGTTAGCGTCTACGCTGACTCTCTCGAATAGTTATTAAAAGGTCCCGTCCAGTCCATCACACATCAGCATCAGAGAGCGCATATCTCAACGCACTCACGTGTCCATGTATGGCCCCGTCCTGTTCACCGGCTGAGAGCCGGACTAGCCGTGTCACATTCTCCAACGCACTTCCCAACTGGTTCACTTGCTAATTCGTCTGTGCAGTAGTACAGTGTTTACTTCAGAAAATGCATGTACGGTACGGCATGAGCTGGAGTGCTGTGCTGGACAGCTTGTGCTACTAAAGAAAAAGAAGGTAATGTATGGGGGCATGAGGGACAAAGGCTGGCTCAAGAGGCTACGGCCTAATTAAAAGTTTACGTTGGGATGATGCTAGCATCCATTCCTTTAATTTCTTCTGATTCTTCATCGCATCGGAAAGATTATGTTGTGATGATGGCAAAGCTTTCCTAAGCTCGATCGGAAAGTTCATGTTTGGGGATATAAAGATAGGGACAAAGGATGGATTTGTTAAAGTCCAAGTTCTAATTTGTGGAAGCTAAACCAAAGAAAGGGGGCCCTTTGGCCCATGATGCCTAGGGCCCATAAGTGGGATATATAAAGATACTAAAGCTTAAAAATTGCCTTTGGCCCATGATGCCTAGGGTGCATATACATACTACATCTTTTTGTATTTAACCTCCCTTAACTATTCATAAGTTCGACTTACCTCTCTCAATTTCTAGAAGTAGAGATACTAGGACTTGTAATCCTAGAGCGTTTGCCTATTTAGCTTTACAATTCCTAGTGATCTTGTTTAGTTGCTTTACTTGATATCTAGGTTTGTGTAGGTCATCACCCTAAGCTTGCTAGACTAGTGGTGCTTATTGGGCGGTAAGTTTCTTGTTGTTCTCGTTTTTTTATTTCTCATATTAGTTGAAGCCAAAAGACTAGTGGTATTTATTGGGTTCACCTTTGTTACTAACTAGTTCCTCCAACGAACACACCTGCACAAGTGTCACTTTACTCGACATCACCACCCAAAGGGAATTGTTGGCGTCCGATCACTCTTCGACAGATCAACGCCCCATTTTCCATCATCACTCAACATTCATGTTGTTGGACCTAAGATCAACGTATCTGAAAACCCAGCTCAATCCCGCTATTGCATCATCGTCGGAAGCAGAGAGCCACAATGGTGCTTGCGAGCTTGTAGGCCGAGAGAGGGACACAACCGTGACAATTCATAATTTGATGGACAGAGACACCCCGAATATAAGAGGAATTTTCCTCTTAAGAGATGATCCCGCTCGCGGTATCATTTGTGAAAACCAAACAGGCGACAACAACCCACGGTATTAGCGGAGGGATGGCAGAAGTACGCGATTACAACTCTGCAGCATGCCCACTTTTTGTCCACGGTAAGTAAAGGCCCGGCTAATCCCTCCGCGGTTGATGCAGCAAAACCAGCCGGCTGTTTGTTTGCTTCCTACACTCGTTGGTTCCCCTGAGGTCCCGGCAGCAGCAGGCCATATTCTAGTCTGGTCTCTCTCTTTACCGTTTTAGCGCCCGCTGATCATGTCATGTTTTCCTTCCTCGTTGGTTTGGTTCCCGGCTGGTCAAATAATTAATTGTTTGTTAAACTTGGGAATTGGGACGTGTAGGCCCTGTTCGTTTATCTTATAATCCGTCTTTTTCAGTTTGTTTTTTCAGTCGAAATAATGTTTTTCTCTCACAACAAATCAGTCGAAATTGTTTTTTTCAGCAAAGCGAAAGGACCGTAGACTTGTCCTCCACCAACGCAAGCCTAGTATCGCAATACTAGCTACGATCTCGCCTGTCTTGCTTGACAGATGGCGACGCCTTTCTTTCAGGTCCCAACCCAATTAGCCCACAAGTGGCCCTGGGCTATTCTGTTCAATTCCAAATAGCACAGTTTTCGTCTCTTAAACGTAACGGAGCTTTAATATGGATAGACACTAATAAAGTTACATTCTCTCTCCGCAACAAGCCAATACAAACATCATCATGTAAAAAGGAACAGGAAAGGAAAAAAAAAGGCGCTCTAACTGTAAGCAACACGTACTATCGCAAACTCGCTGTACATCCCAAGTTCCAACAGTGCTAAGATGATTGTACACAGTACAACTAATACGATGCTATTATCACTAGATCAAGAAAGGATCCTTCTCTTTATTAAAAAAAAAAGGGGGAAGGTGTTTTCATTTGGCGTCCGGGAATTAGCTAGGATTCCATGGACCGCTTGGGAGCAAGAGAAAGAGATGGCTACGTAACCAAACGAAAATGCTGGGCTTGGCAAGACGGGTCGTTAATTGTTAGGCCCTCCGTGGTACAGAGCTTGGGTTTCTTTCAAAAAACCGGTGACGCTGAAATGTTTTGGTGACACTTGATTCTAGCAAAAACAGCTTCGGCTTTATGATTTTTTTCGTTTAATTTTGACTTCAGGAACCATTGGCATGTGTACTCGTTTACCAAGGCTTTCGGTTAAGACCATGGAGAAGCCAGTAAAAATCCTGCCAAAGAGAAGTTAGTACTCCGTCCAGTCCATCACACATCAGCATCAGAGAGTGCATATCTCAACGCACTCACGTGTCCATGTATGGCCCCGTCCTGTTCACCAGCTGAGAGCCGTGTCACATTCTCCAACGCACTTCCCAACTTGTTCACTTGCTAATTCGTCTGTACAGTAGTACAATGTTTTTACTTCAGAAAAAAGCATGTACGGTACGGCATGAGCTGGAGTGCTGTGTTTACTAAAACCGGTGACGCTGAAATGTTTTGGTGACACTTGATTCAAAAAGCAAAAACATTTTCAAGATTATGATTTTTCGTTTAATTTTGACTTCAGGAACCATTGGCATGTACTCGAGTATTAAATGATTAAAAAAAAACTAATGCCAAAGAGAGTTAGTACTCCGTCATCCAGAAATCAGCATCAGAGAGTGCATATCTCAACGCAGCACGTGTCCAAATAGTCCTGTTCATAATTGGACAATTTTCCAACGCAAATAACAACGCTAAAGTCTGTACAGTAGTACAATAAACTTCAGAAAAAAAATTTTCGGAACTGAGCTGGAGCCCTAAAGCTACTAAAAAAAAAGAAGGTAATGTATAATATCAATTCTTTCCTTTACAAAATGTTATGGTAATGAATTTTACGGCCTAATAACTGATAACGGTTCCTAGCTAGCATCCATTCCTTTAATTTCTTCTATGGTTCTTCATGGCATAAGCATAACTTCACCTTCCATGAAGTTTTTTTTAAGTGTATATTTAATATACTTTCGTAAGCTCGAACTACCAAAAAACAGGCTGAGACTAGACAAGCTGAAACAAGTTGGCCTATCCCCATTAATACAAGGATATTAAAGATACCCCTGACAAACTTATTGTTAGATTTGTTAAAAGTGCAAGTTCTAATTTGTGAGGAAGCTTCTTACTAAACCAAAGAAAGGGCGGCTCCCTTCTCCCGAGAACTTTCACACTGTTGGATGGGAGTCCCTTCCAAGACTTGACCAAAAGCTTATCTCTTTCATCTCAATTTAACATTTTCCGAAACGCGGCTAGACCGAGGCAGAGCAAGAGTGCAGCTTCAACCGATCCCCGGCAACATCTTTTAGGCCAATGTTGGGCGTATCAGCTATCTCACCTGGAGAGTGAGGACAGAAAACGGTCTCGATAGCGGCACTTCGGGGCAAGCGTTTATAAGAACACCTTTATTTCTGATGATTGTTATAAGGAAACAACGTCGCTCATCTGGTTAGAAGGAATGTGTAGACGTGGGCGCACGTAGGGCCACGAAGTCACGAACGAACCTAACCACGTTGGTTACAAACTTATAGTCCTCCACAACTCAATTTTGGGTGCATAATTAATTTCTTCTTATAATTATTATTGTATTGAAAACTGGTAAGTTTCTTGTTGTTCTCGTTTTTTTTATTTCTCATATTAGTTGAAACCAAAAGGCTCAATCTATGAAGTAGGGTTATATTTACAAAATATGAGCAAGACTTGTCGTATATTAAAGATCTCGGTCCAAGTCGTGTTGCTTCCCGTTTGTGAATGCTTAATGCAGATATGCGTCGTACCTACTACTTACATGTTTTTTTCCAAAGGGAATTGCAAGCATCCGAATGTCCAATGGGATAGGATTCCATTAGACAGTACCGAAACGGCCTAGCAGAAACACGGTGCACCCCACAGTATCGTTGCAGTCCTTCCTCTCTGCCTCGTCCCGCCACGCACGAGTACCCCGCCTCCGTCTGTCTCACCCTACCCTACGTCCGGCGCTCTTTCCCCCTAACCCCCTCCTCTCTCTTCACGCGGACGGGATCGAGGAACCGGGATGAGGACGAGCACGCCCCGCCACAGGACCCTAGGCGCGCCGCACGCCCCATCCGCCAGCCCTCGGCTCA